AGAGGAACGGGGAAAAAAAGACACACGAAAGGACGATAATAGATATGGCGCCCACAACTCCACGCGATGTAGCTGGCAACAAATTTTCTGGCCTCCCGCAGAGGGCTAAGAAAAAGATCAACTTACTCCGACTCACCACCCTCGCTGTCGTCCGCAGCGAAGCGATTCGCCCTCGTCTTCTTCTTCTCCACGAGCGCCTTCGCCTGGCGCACATCCTCCTGCAGCTTCTCCGACTGCATTTCGGCAAAACGGCCCTGCAAGGTCTGGGGCTTTCCGTGCTTTTCCTCCAGCGCGGCCCGGGCCCGCCTGCGGTACGCAATCGAGTTGGGAAGGACACCGGTCCGTGCCAGCTGCGCCTTCGTTTCGTACTCCGACTTCGTGAAGACGCCCCCGCGGCGCTGCACGCTGGAGTAGAACAGAGTCTGCTGCTGCGACGGCCCGGAGACGGATGTCCGCACGACTGTGGCGGAGTGCTGCCCGGCCTGCGGCTGCGAGGCCTGAAACGGAGAAATGAAGGCGGCTGGAATCGTTCCGTCGTCCACGGCGGCGGGGCCCTTCGCGCGACCGCCGGTGTGCCCCCGTGCCCGCGCATGCGGCTGCCAGTGACGAGCCGGGCGGTCACTGTGCGCGGCACGGCTATGCGTGTGGGGCCGGAGGTGGTGTTTGCCGCCCACGGCGTTGGGCTGCACCATCGACGCTGGTCGCTAGTCACCGGCCTCAGAAGGGGCGCGAGTCGAGGGCAAGAAGGCGCAAATGAGAAGGAGAGGAGGAGAGAAGTGAGTGGGGGAGCTCCATCCCGCCCACGCACCCAGCAGCGGTGCTGAGGCCAACGTGTCACAACTTCCAGCAGCGTCCGCCGCCAGTGCTGCTGCTGCGCACCTTGTACATCGCCCCCAAAGGGGGGAGAAAAGAAAAAAAAAACAACGCGGGGTTCAGACGAACCACACGCCCCTACGGCCACCAGCGGCAGCCAACACACTCACGGCTGCGCCTGCTGCGCCGCGGAGGGGACTTGAAAACGGTACAGCCGTGAGCACCCCGACGCCTCATCCGCCTCCACCGCGTAGAGCGTCTCACCTTTTGCGTCCAACGCGAGGGCGCGGAGCGATGGGCCCGGGGTGCGCACAACGCCGCTCACCTCGCCATCCCTGCCAAGCACCGTGATGAGGCCACCGGCGCCCTCACCGCCCTCGTTGGGCGACGGCGACGACGCCGCGGCCCTCACGTCGTACTGCGCCACAAAGATGGAGCCGTCACTCGGCCTCACGGCGATGGCGCTGGGGCCCATTCCTCCCTGCAGCTGCGCAAAGACGCTCCCGACGTAGTAAGTCCCACGCAGCACAAACCGCAGCACACGATTGGCGCCCTGCTCGCAGACATACACGCTCTTGTCAGGCGCCACGACGACTCCCGAGGGACGCACAAGACCGTGAGAGCAGAGCGGAACGACTTGGCTGCGTCCCTGCAGCGTGCGGTAGACGGCGCCCACCGGGTCGGCAAACGACGAGTCACCCTCCGCGCCGGCATCGGTGAAAAACAACTCCCCGTCCGGTGCAAAGGCGAGCGCCGTCGGCCCAATAAACGGTTTATTTTCAAATCCGTCCAGGCAGCGCGCAATGGTGTAATTCGCCTCTCCGCGGCCGTCATCATCGGCCCCCTCGTTAGTCCCCGCACGAGCAGCGGGGTTGGCCACCGCCTCCAGCCTAAGGATGGCATTCTCGGCGCGGTCGGTGAAGTATACGTCGCCAGTGCGGGCGTCGATGGCAAGCGCGTGCGAGGAGGTCTCTGTCGCCATGAGGGGAATCATTGTGTCGTCCGCCTTGTTGAGGCGCAGCAGCTCCCCGCTGCAGCAGCATATGGCAAACACGTCGTCGTGTGGGTCCAACGCCAGTCCCGTCAAGAGGCGGCCCGGCAGCTCGGCAACAAGCTCCATGTGAACAACAGTGACACGGGGCCCTGCGCCTGCACCTGCAACTCCCCTCGCTGCTCCTGGGGGAAGTGAATGACGATTGCTTCTCCGCACGCACCCGTTTCCTTCTCAGCAAAAGGCAACAAACCCCACGCAAAGAGGGATAAAGAGAAAAAAAAAGAGGCGGGGGTCTCCGGTCAAAAAGAGAAGATAACTAAAACAGACCCCCCAAACGACGGGAAAAGTGGAGCACCGCCTGCTGCAGCCGGAGAGTGCACCGGCGCACCGCCTTGCACGCGCAGGCCGGCACGCGGATGGGAGCTAAACGTGGCAGTCGGGTCTTAAGAACGGGTTAAGAGTCATCTCTTCTCTCCACACACACACACACGCACAATGCCGCCCTCTCTCATTGTTAACACAGTTGCCACCCACCGTGGGCAACCTCGGCAGGGCCACTCGCGTCAGTGCTGGCGCCCTCACTGACTTCGCTGAGGTCCTCAAGCAGCTGCCGCATCTCCTCCACCGTCGTACTTTGGGCATTGTGTTGAGGCTCAGCCGCAGACATCGCGTCGTCCTCCGCAACTTCTGCCTCCTCCTCCTCCTCCGCCTCCATGAGGCGCAAATGCCGCTCCTGCTCCACCCAGTAGTGCTGAAACAAGAACTGTAGCACAAGCCCACAGACCCAGCGAAGCTCAGAGAGGAGCGGGAGGGCGCCATGCGCCACGCGCTGGCGTACCTCCACCGCCTCCTCGGGAAAGCCAATCATGCGGGCCCGCTTCCTGTAAGTGTCCGCGGCCCCACGAGCGAAGGTGCCTGTCATGAGATGCACCGAGCGCGATATGGCCGCACCGTAGAAAGACACAGCCCCCGACGACGAAAGGTGGCCCCCCTCATCAAGTAAAACGGCTTCCATCAGCAGCGCCGTGGCCTCCGCGTACGCCGGAAGCGGTCGATGCTTACGCTCACGTGCCTTCCACACAAGTTGGATGCGATCCAAAGCCTTGCGCCTCGCCTCCGTCGCGCCCGCACCGTCCTGGGCAGCAAATAGCAGCTGCTTCACACATTTCCACTCATCCCACCCGCGTCCAAACACACTGGGCGCCGAAGAGAAGGAAGACGAAAGAGGTGCCGAGGGGAACACATCCTCCTCCTCCGCCGCTAATGCGCCACTCACCACAGCCATGTTTGAAGTATCAGTGGAGGCCTTTCCAGCGAGGCACTTGGGCGCGGCAGCGCCAGTCTGCACTTTGACGCACGCAGGCGTCTGCGAGGGAGGGGCGGCGTCCAAGTCGTCCAGTTCTCCCAGTCCCCTTTTGATGCAAGTCCCGCGCTTGCGACGCTCGTTGAGTGCCGTCGGCCGATCCCGATTGCGTTTCCTCGCCATATTTATACTTGTCTCCCTGTGTGCACGCGCCGGTGTCCACGCCACTCCCGCTTTCTTTTTTTCTTCCCTTTTCCTACGGTGGGCTGGCGGGGAAGGAGTTTGAAAGTGCTGCAGGAGCCAAAAAAAAGAAGCAAAAAAAAAACGGCAAATTTGTGGCAGCGCGGCGGAGTCCAGTAAACGCGGCAGACGAAGAGGGGAACAAGGACACAAACGACAGCAAGCGGAGAGATCAAAGTGAATTCCACCGCCGTACACCACCCGCAGCAAGCGGCGACTGAAGTGGAGGCCAGTGCCCGGCACCCGCAGGCCGCCGCCGCCTCCTTCCCGGCGCCAGAAGGAAGTTCACTTGCGCCCAAGGCATTGCAATGAGTTTCGCGCCGTTGCTCCATCACACCCACCCGTAGGAGGGCGGGCTGTTATGCTGTGCCCGAAAGGCGCGCATGCTGACATCGTACGTCAAGAATATTGCCGCATTGGACGGAAAGGAGCGAAGCGCGGTGAGGGTCCACCCACAGTAGAGGGCCCGCACGCCTCCTTCCGCGTACAACACGCGCAGCGCCTTGCCAAAGCTGTAGTGGGAAAAGGTGGGGTCCAACTGCACGCGGGTCTTGACAACGTCTGCAGGGAAAAGGACGGTCCAGAACGCCACCCCGCTGCAGCCCCCAGCAAACATGAGCCGCCACGGCGACAACTCAGCCGTTGAGCCTCCTGGAGGCGTCAAGAGCTCTTTGAGCTTGTCGTACGTGCCGCAGTAGGCCGCCGTGCCCGGCACCTCGCGGGCCAGCATCGCAACTCCGCCCTTGTAGAGAGCCGTCACGCCACCCCGACGCGCAATTTTGACCGCGCAGTGCGTGACGCCATGGAATTCCCGCTGGTTTGGCGGCAGCATGTTCGCCACCTGCAGGTGGCACTTGACAAGCTCCAGTGGTGTCAAGAAGACCGTTGACGCCACGCCGCCACCCACGCCGCCAAGAATGATCTGCCAGGCAAGCGGATGATGCTCATCCGCACCCAGCTCGCGCAGGGTCCACTTGTAGAAGGAGAACACAACGGCGTGCTCGAAGCCAGAGCCCACGAAGCGGGTAGAGGCCCCATGATAGAAGGAAAATAGGCCCTCCTCCCTCACAAGCCGCGCAGCGCAATCCCAGTAGCCCCGGTAGAGCGAACTGTACGCCTGCAGGCGGACCTTAATCGTGTCAAGCGGGTACTCCAGCAGTACGCCCACCACGCCGGACAGTGTCCCGGCGACGAATGTTTGGAAGTACTCTTCTGCCATTCCCAGCCGGCAGTGAGCCCCCCAGCACGAGCGAGGAAAAAAGAAGGTGTGGGACGGCACACATGACGCGGTCGCAGCAGCGGCGCAAGGGTTAGGGAGGCGAGGAGGCAAAACCAAAACAGAATAAAGACACACAGAAGTAATAATAATAATAATGTTCATAGTGATAAAGAGGCGCACGCACAAAAGACGTAGCTGTCGCCTGATCCGTCGGTAAACGTGACGCGATACTCCACTTCTTCTTTCCTGCTGTTCCGTACTGCTTCCCCGCATGTGTTCCTTGCCGCCCCACGGCCAGTCACTTCACTCTCGATGCCTCTTTGAGGGTGGGCGCGTCGAGTCGGGCCCGCCGCCGCCCTCGTCCTCGTGCCCATCGTCGTTCGTCCCCGCGCCGTCCCCCTCCCACTCGGCGGAGTCCAAGCAGCTGCCGCCTGGCACGTCGTATGCCCCCATTGGGTCACCGCCCTGCTCGTCTTCACCGCGAGCGGCAGCGGAAGGCCGCGTGTTGGATTCCCTCGCCATGTTGCGACCGAAGAGCTCGTAGCTCTTCGCCTGCGCCGCCACGAGAAAAGCAAATGCGTCGCTAAAGAGACAACAATCATTTGGGGCCGATTCCTCGCCCGCGACCGGTGCCGCCGGCTGCGCACAGGACGAGGACGTCAGCTCGAGCATCACCTCGCCTGTCCGCCGGTTCGTAATGGCAAAGAACGCGGGCGGCGGGGCCTCGCTGCCGCGGTGTGGCAGGGCGGTATGCATCTACACTGGAGGGGGGAAAAAACACGAAGAAGAGGCAGAGCAGGAGAAGGCAGGGTAAAAAGAAGAACATCAGCTGGAGGGAGAAGGAAGGCAACAACTAAAAAACAAAAACCAAAAAAAAACGATAGTAGGTACCACAAGAGACGGTGCGTGGCAGCGCCGGGGCGCACCTCAGTCCAGCTCGCCAAGAAACACAAACACACACACACACACACACACAAACATAACAAAAAAACACGGTAACAATTACAAATTACGTGACCGAAGTTCCAGGAAGCTATCCCCTTAAATGCACGGTTGCTGCGTTACGCACCTCCTTT